TCTACTGACCCAAACTGGGACCCTGACCCATACATTGGGAACCGATGGTTTGGGCAGATGCTTTAAGATGATTTAGACCTCCTACTGGATTGCTTTCACCTCTCATCCAAAAGGCTTAATCAGTTCTGACTGGGGGTTTTAGGAGTCTCACCAGGTGGACACACCACTCAGACCCATTATCCACCATCCTGGCTTCTTTGGCTGGAAAACCTCCAAACTCCAAACCAGATCGCTACCATCCTGGACCTTTTGCCTTTCAACCACCTGTTTCAAGCACAACAACCAGTTTTCCCAGCAGAAACATGGATGCACAGCGGGTTCTCTACTGGACTTCTACAAGGGGACAGCGCCAAGCCACTTGTTCAGATGCCACACGGGCCAAAATTCTAACTCCTGAAACAAAACATTTCACCAGACATCAACGCTGTGGCCAAGAACATCAGGTTCACCAGGGAGAACTGCGTTCTGCAAAACTAGATCTGTCAGAAACCCACCCATACAGACCAATATCTGCATTCTGACTCAAATCCCCCACTGGAGCACAAACGGCACACTATCAGATCCTTACACGATTAGGCTGAGAGAAAAATGGAACTGCAACCAAAAAAAGTTCACCAAACCTGCAGAAAGCTAAACAGGACCTTTTTTTTAAATGAGGAAAGGAAACTTGGAAAAGACTCACAGCAGCAGGACCATGGTAGAAGTCTCAGAGAAAATCATCTTTAAACCTAACGACACCCTCAGAGAGAACCTGGTTCATCAAGGGCAAGACACCCAAACATAAGCTTAGTGGAGTTTCTGCAGCTAGAATCATTCAGACAAGCGCATGGCAGGAGAGCAACCTCTTCACCCACAAGGGACGCAGTTTGAAAAAAATGTTCATTTTCTGGACAGAGAAGATAGATTTTGAGGGTTTGAGAGGAGTAATGGACGCCGTTTACAACAGACGGGAAAAACAGACATTTAAGGGGACAGATTAGGCCAAACCCAACTTTTGCATCCTTATTTGCAGCCATGTGGGTCTCTACTGCCTCTTTAAACACTCCAAACGCGAAAAAAAAAACCATTTCCAACTGTTTTCTGTCTGTGTTTGGTTTCAGGTATTATGTGCCTAAAACGAGCAGTTTCAAAAAGTCCCCATTTGTGATGTCACAGAAGGGTAGATTTCAACCACCTCTTACATGCAAGAGAGAGGCGCTGCTAAAGGAGCAGCAGCTCGACTCCAAATCCCTCTTACACATCGGAGTTTCTCAGCTCATAGCAGCCTGAGCGGGGGACGGGTGGGCGTGGTCAGATCCAGCATGTTTTCTTAAAGGGACAGAGCCCCGAAACGGCTGAAATATGTCATCAATAAAACTTCTGAAAAAATTTTATGTAAAAGTAATTTAGAGCAAATAAACCTCATAAACATGTTTGGTAACAACTGTAACAGAATGAAATGACTGTTTTCCACCTTAAAGTCATTTCCCCCCTCTCCTCAGCAAGAACTAGGTCTCAAGCTCTGCTTCTAAACGGTTTCTTATTTTCCAGCTCAAGAGAAGAAGACGAGCACTTTCTTTTTAATAAATCAGAAGAACTCTATTTTTAATAAGCTAATCAAACAAAGTGCTAGTCCAATAATAAAATGTGAATCAATCTGTGAAATGACAATGTTTATGATCAGTAGTATTTAATAACTTTAAACTAGCTGCACTAGACATTCTCATCCACGTAATGCTTAAAGTCACGTGACACATTTTCTTTTTCTGATCCAATCAGAACCTTTCAGATCTGACGCGAGGCGTGGTTTTGTTGGTGCTTGGTAAATCCCCTCTAGTTGTCTTTTTTTTATTTATTCGACCGTAAATCAAAACATCAAAATTGTAAAACTATGCTCACGTCATCTTAACTTCCGTTCAAAGCGTTCTAGAGAAGTTGTCGCAGTGGGCCATCCGTAACTTTCCTCTTCAGCCTAAAGAACCAACGACAAGCTGGATAAAATCTGTTGCTGTTCCACCTGCTGCAACGGTTCCTTTCAGAATAAAAGCTGAACCATCACGACCTTTCAGGGTCTCGCTAGATGCCAACAAAACTGTCGTGACCTGGAAGTATCTCAAAGACTGGTCTGGTCGGCAACCGCTGCTTTTCTACCGGCTTCGGTGCCAGAGGAGGTCAAGCTGGACCTCGACATTCCTGATCTAACGGGGACTTCCGTTACGGGTACGTAGACCGACAGAATGGCGTCTCAGTGTGTGTTATAACTCTCCAAACCAAAGCTTAGAGCGAAGCATCATCTTCACTCCCATCAGAACTCATCGTTTCTCCGGATTTGCTGGTTCTGAACATTTCACACATACACCATCTTCAGTCTTACTTCACCTTAGTGACACCGTACACCTAGTGTTTAACGTTAGTCTAGTTTAATTTGTTAAGTAATAAATCTTTAAACTTTTAAACCTGACTCTATCTCTTTCTTGGAGTTGATACGAAGTGTTGCTCAATCCCTGCAATAAAAAGATCCGATCTTCTGGTTAAATTTACAATAAGATCCATTAAGGTGATATTTCATCTTTCGTGATATTTCACATTTTATGGTTTCTAATTAAATGTAGGAACATCTTCTCTACACAACCATAGAACTGTTATAACTTAAGACAAAAGGTCATATGTCCCTTTTAAGCAGGTGGGAGACCTCTCCAACACCTGCAACACATCTTTGCACCTGATCCACAGAAAGATCCAGTCTAATTTTTACCTTTGTATCAGAATGAAATGACTATTTTCCACCAAAAGTCATTTCCCCCTCTCCTCTGACACAGAACTAGTCTGCATGAGATATGGCTTCAAGGTCTCATGCCTTTGCTCTAAACTGCTTCTTTCCAGCTCAACAGAAGAATGAAGAATGGACTCTCTCCTTTTAATAAATCAAAGAACTCTATTTTTAATAAAGCTAAACAAACAAAGTGTTAGTCAATAATAAGATGTGACCAATCTGTGAAATGAAAATATTAATTACTTTATTACAATCCTATAGAATATAATAAGTAATATGACTTTAAATGTTTCCACTAGGACTGATCTCACGTAGCGTTAAGACATGACACATTGCTTTTACTGATCCAATCAGAATCTGCCAGATCTGACGGAGGCGTGGTTTTGGTGGTGTTTGGTAAATCTGTCATCTTTTCATTCGACCATAAACCAAAACATCCGAAGTATAAAACTATGCCCACGCCATCTTTGACGCCAGTTCAAAGCGTTCTAGAGAAGTTGTCGGAGTGGCCAATCCGTAACTTTCCTCTTCAGCCGAAAGAACCAACGACAAGCTGGATTAAATCTGTTGCTGTTCCACCTGCTGCAACGGTTCCTTTCAGAATAAAAGCTGAACCATCATGACCCAGGTTTGGGTCTCACCAGACGCCAACAAACTGTCGTGACCCGGGAGTATCTCAAGACTGGTGGTCTGCTGCCGCGGCTGCTTCTACATGATCCGGCTCCACAAGGTCAAGCTGGACCTCTACACCTCCTGATCTAGACGGGGACTTCCGCTAAGGGTATGTAGACCGACGGAATGGCGTCGAATGTGTTTATGAATCTCCTAACCAAAGCTTAACGCGAAGACATCACCTTCATTTCCCACCAGAACTAATCGTTTCTTCGGATTTGCTGGTTCTGAGCAACATTCCACACTACACCATTCTCCGTCTCATCCACCTTAGTTACACCGTACATTTAGTGTTTAAGTCAGTCTAGTTTAATTAGTTTAGTAATAAATCTTTAAACTTTTAAACTCGACTCTCTTCTGTTGTCTCTGAGTGAATACGAAGCCGTTATCTAATCCCTGCAATAAAAAGTTCCAATATTCTGGTTAAAATAACCCAACAGATCCATAAGGTGGATTTCATGTTTCCTATGGAATCCCACGTCTCATGGCTTATTAAATAACATGTAATTTAAATCATTACACCTTCCTGCATCTGACCAGAGCACCTGATAACAAGACTAACCCAAAGGGACATTAAAGACTCCCCAGGGGGGTCGAGGGGAAGGGGGGTTTCACATGAAGCAAAACTTCTTAAATAAAAAATAAAATCAGCTGCTGATCGGAGCTGGCCAAAGTTCAAAATTCAAAACCCGGATTTTATTTGATTGCTAAGCAGCAATAAAAAATAAAAATAAAAATCAGAGATGGGTCATAAACTCCTCATTTCAAGTGCTATTTCAGGTAGCAACAGATCTAAAGTGTGAAAGATTTTACATCTAAAATTATAATTTTATATATGTTATTTAGAAATGAGGAAGTATTCTGTTAATCATGTAGCTGTTGAAAGTCTGGAATCAGCCAAGACTTGTAGCTGACCTGTAGAAAAGCAATAAATCGGTATCGGCCTTCAAAACTAGAATCGGTGCATCTCTATTTCTCTCCATTATTTGTCCTCAAGTGTACGTCGTACCGTTAAAAACAATCTTTCTTGTTATTTAAACTGAGTTTACATGGAAGCGTTAAAAATAATTATGGCTTTTAAGCCCAACTCGACAAACTTAAGTTGTGTTTTCTGCTGAAGGGAAAAGTCACTGTAGTGTAGGGTGGCATTTTCAGGGCTTAAAACCAACTATTTCATGAGTAATCTGGCAATGTTTGTTTTTATACTTATTATGCAGTCATTATAATGGCTTCACCCATATTTTCATGCAAGTATTTAGAAGCAGGCAGCAACAAAACGCAGGACCGTGTGCCTGAGAAAAACTGAACTACAGGGACTTTACCTTCCATTCCTCATTTACATAAATAATTAAACATAAATCCATTAAAAGCAGTCAAATATCCACCAAGGTGGTGCAGTATGCATCAGATGCCTCGTGCGCGTTTCTGCTTCGCCGGGTAAATACAGAATTTCACCAGAAAACAAAAGCCTCCACAGAAATCCTTCGACTGTGTCGTTAACGGATTTCTGCACGGCGCTCATCCAGGCTGTGTTTAAAGGATCACCGCGGGACGGGATTAAAGGTGACGATCATACATGTTTGAAGGTGGTGTGGGGGGCGGGGTCAGCTCCGTGCTCCTCCATGTACTCCTCCCAGATGAACTCCTCCTCCATGGACTCTGCATCTGAATAAAACAAAAATGATCATCGAGTTATTGGTGATGGAAAGGCATCCCAAAAGCTCAGGATTTTGCATTTACAGCATTTCATGTCGGTTGTGTTTCTGTTGGATCTCTGGAGACTCAGGAGTGAACCTGCCGTGTGAAACGAAGAGAGACGGGAAGGTGAACGATGATCGCTTTGTCTCAGAAACACACACGGGCGCACGCACACACCTTCAGGGTGGCTTTTGAGCTTCTCCACTTTAGTAAAAGTTCAACGTTCTGCGAGAAAACCCGACAGAGGAACGTGTGTTCTTTGATTTTGTCGCTCAGAGCTGGATGAGAGCTTTGTGTGTTTTAACAGATTGTTCTGTTATGCTGCCGGTGTGTGTGTGGCATTCAGAAACCTCCGTAAAATCCAACACCAACCACAATGAGTGAATTCTCTGAGGCACACTGCGGTGAAATGCGATTGTCATTATTCCCAAAACTCGTGAAATTGTGTCAAAACTGCACTTGAAGCTTTTAAACAGTTAATTTAAGAGTTTTTCCACTTTCTTTTATTATTTCAGGAGTGATCTCAGCTCCTCACTGAGCGAGCCGACCGCAGCAATCGGAAGTCACGCCCGGGTCTGTGAGGTGAAGCAGGATTAGAGAACGAGTGAAGGATCAGATCGTCATGACGCGCACAGACCCATACCGCTGTAGATTTTTGATTTTCAACCATTTGTAAGATTTATTCTGTGGAAAAGTTTTAACATTTGATTATCATAATCAGCCAATTTCCAGCATGAACAGTTGAATCCTTAATTAGCCAATCAGAAACCTACAGGCACATTTAATGATTACGCAACATCACCACACAGCAATTAAAAATAAACCTTCCTAGTTTTTTAACGCACCGTCGCTAAGTGCTGAATGATGCTAAAATTCTGGGTTAAATCAATTCAATTTAATTCAAATAAAGTTTATTTATAAAGCGCCAAATCACGACAAGAGTCGTCTCAAGGCACTTCACATGATAAACATTCCAATTCAGGTCAGTTACGGTAAATGGTAAAATGGTAAATGGCCTGTATTTGATATAGCACCTTCTAGAGTCCTGGAACCCCCCAAGGCGCTTTACAACACAATCAGTCATTCACCCATTCACACACTGGTGGGGATGAGCTACGATGTAGCCACAGCTGCCCTGGGGCGCACTGACGGAGGCGAGGCTGCCGAGCACTGGCGCCACCGGTCCCTCCGACCAGATCATTAAGCCAATCAAAAATAATGTTTCCTATATAAGGAACCCAGCAAATTGCATCAAGTCACTGACTAGTGTTAGTGTCTTTACAGCAATCCTCATACTAAGCAAGCATAAAGCGACAGTGGAGAGGAAAACTCCCTTTTAACAGGAAGAAACCTCCAGAGAATCCTGGCTCAGTATAAGCAGCCATCCTCCACGACTCACTGGGGATGGAGAAGACAGAGCACACACACACACACACACACACACACACACACACACACACACACACACACACACACACACATACACACACACACACACACACACACAACATTGTGATTTCTTAGTAAATATTTTATTTGGTGAGAGATAAACTTTATTGTATTTATCCTAGTGGATCTATAATTAAACGGATAAACTAGTAGTAGCACGTCCAACGTCAGAGAGAGCAAAAAGTTATTATCAGGAGAGGGATGATATTTTAGTGGTTAGCAGCAGTGTGCTAGTCGATGGCCCCCTCCATGAGGCCACCACATCTCAGCAGAACATCGCTGTAGCTTCTTCTGGGGAGAAAAACACTTAAATCTATTGTAAAACCGGTAACATGCCTCAAAACCGCAATCAGTGCATCTCTAATTCTATCTGCCGCTGATGGCTTCCCGAACAGCCTCAGTCCAAACGGACTTTCCTCGTTCCTTAAGGACTGATGGGCTAACGTTTAATCTAGACCACAGTGTTTTGTTGCCATATTAACTCATTCACTGCTAATGACGACTAAAGTCGTCATTAGCATGTTTTTACTGTATGGGTGTCGGACGAGCCCCCGCACCGTGAGAACAAACATCTCAGCTGTAAAGCCGATCTTCATCCGCGTACGTCACACGTCACGTGATCAGGAAGCAGAACATCCATGTGTTAGGAGATCGTTTTGGGCCGCTGCTGTAAAAAAAGTGAGGCGCGAACCGGAAAAGCTTCTGCCGATCACAATTCAACAACGGATTATGAAAGAACAGATAACGCTCGAAACGCGCGGATTCTTCCTGATGTAAGAGGCGAGTCTCCATTTTGTTTTGGGTGGTCAGTAAAAACGGTGAGAAACGCTGGCAGCGACGGGCTTTACCGATCAGGAAGCGGCTGGCAGCGAACGAGTAAAGGACTGATGAGCTAACGGCTAATCTAGACCGCAGTGTTTTGTTGCCGTATTAAAACAGCTCAACTAAATTTTCCAGTTTTTACACAAATTGCTATGAAATTTACCAGACTGGCTTTAGTTCAAAGTGGCTGCAGTTATTTTATGTTGACTGTGGCCAGACTAGCCATTAGCTTATCGACCCTGAAAGATGTAAACTGTGTTTCTTTAAACAGAAGCCTTTCAGCCACTAAATACAACAGGTAAGAAATTCATTTATTAAGAACTTTTACTCCAAAACACAAAAATTTTACATTTACAAAGACTGCTGTCACAATCAGGTCCCCGATGTCCACCGTCCGTCGGGCTTTGGTGGTTTCTCTGCTCCAACCCACCTTACTCCACGGTTAAATTACCTGTTCTGCATGTTCTCAAGTTCTCCAGAAGCCTTTTAATCAGCCGCTGATTCACATCAGCTGTTGTAGCAGATAAACATCTAGAACATGAATGTAGAGGCCCTTGGGGACTTTATAAAAACTTTACGTTGGAAAAGAAAAAGGTGTGTTGAATAATTCTCGGGTATGAGTTCAGTTTCTGGGCTAAAACGGAGTGAAAAATCGTGATGCCTGGAAACGTTATCCTCTAAAAAACCCCAAAGAGCCTTTGATTGATCACTTTAAAAGTCTGTGTGACAAATGCTTTAAATATGAGAAGTTAGCTGATGAGGTCAGCGGCTCTTCCTGTGCGCATTTGTTCTAACCAATGCTACACGAACGCGTGCACAAGACGTTTTAAAGTCTCAAAAATGCTTTATTTTGACTTGTTTCAGAACATTTTGTAATGAAAAACAATTCCTTTAAAATTCTCAGAAAATATAAACAAAAGTTCAAGTGAGGAAAAAACAGAACAATGGGTGCTTCGGTTATTTCCTGATGAGCCGATTCTAATTTCAGCTCTGAATTATTTATCCAGTTTATGATAATTAACAACATGCTTTGGTTTCTGATTAACCTGAAAATGGCGACTCTTGAAGTAAAACCCTCCACAAGAAAGATCTGTTGGTGATGGTGAGTTCACGGACCACACTGCCCTCATGGAGGGGGCCATCGTCTTGAACACCGCTGCTAACCACTTAATCATCCTCCCTCTCCTGATAATAACACTCTCTTTGACGTTGGATGTGCTACTACTAGTTTACCCGTTTAATTATAGATCCACTAGGATAAATACAATAAAGTTTATCTCTCACTATGGTAAATGGTAAATGAACTGTATTTGATATAGCGCCTTCTAGAGTCCTGGAACCCCCCAAGGCGCTTTACAACACAATCAGACAGTCACCCATTCACACACACATTCACACACTGGTGGGGATGAGCTACGATGTAGCCACAGCTGCCCTGGGGCGCACTGACAGAGGCGAGGCTGCCGAGCACTGGCGCCACCGGTCCCTCCGACCACCACCAGCAGGCAACGTGGGTTAAGTGTCTTGCCCAAGGACACAACGACAGCGACAGACTGAGCGGGGCTCGAACCTGCAACCTTCCGATTACGAGGTGAGTTCTTAACTCCTGTGCCACCGTCACGTGTGTGTGTGTGCGTGTGTGTGTGTGTGTGTGTGTGCTCTGTCTTCTCCATCCCCAGTGAGTCGTGGAGGATGGCTGCTTATACTGAGCCAGGATCCTCTGGAGGTTTCTTCCTGTTAAAAGGGAGTTTTCCTCTCCACTGTCGCTGCATGCTTGCTTAGTATGAGGATTGCTGTAAAGACTCTGACACTAGTCAGTGACTCGATGCAACCTGCTGGGTTCCTTATATAGGAAACTTTTTACTGATTGGCTTAATGACCTGACCTGTGTTGGAATGTTTACTGTGTGAAGGCCCTTGAGACGACTCTTGTCGTGACTTGGCGCTTTATTTTATTTGGCGCTATATTATCATCTTTTCCAAACATGTGCAATAGAACTACTACGCTCATTATCATGTGCAATAATTATCTTAACTTATTATGTGATCTTGTGCGATATCTTGTGTGCTACTGCTACTATCCTGCTGTACCTGAGCCATTGCAATATTGCAATTTCCCCACTGAGGGACTAAAAAAGGTATTCTTATTCTTATATCAATAAACTTGAATTGAACTGAATTACTGTCTAAACCTGTCAGGGCGTTCACCAGCTGCGCATCCATCTACCTTGTTTCTTTCTTATGTTGTTGCAGTTGTCCTCTCAGATGTTGGTTGCTAAAATAAAACAAAAGCGCTTCAAATTCACAAAAAATAGTGTATTTATTTAATAAAATACAGCGTAAAGATATTACTTTATATTCTAATTGAGTCTGAGGTGATTATAATGTTCAGGATGCGGGTCTGTCTTTCATTTGTGGTTTTGAAAGCTTTATTTTTTCACCTTAGCTTCAACATGCAACGAAGTGGGACATATTTTTCTGCTGACGCTTCACTAAACAGGCTTGCTTTATTGTTTTTCACATCCTGTTTTGCACATCCAGCCATAAACTGAGAGAGGAGAAAGCGTCCCTCCTGCTGACGAGCTTTAATGTGGAAGTTAGCTGATGTCGTGGCTAACGCTAGCTCACGTCCTCTGCATTTGGGTCACCACAAACAGAATGAACAGTCTTCTGTGATAAACTGTTTGTTTAGAGGTAAACGTGGTCGGTGCTGCAGCACTCAGGCTCTGGTCTTTTACTTTATTACATTAGAAAGTCACCATTTTGTTTCCCAGCACTAATTTTAACGTTTGTAATCCTAATGCGTTCATCTGTTATGGGCTCGATACACGGGAGGCGACAAACGGCCGCGATCGACGAAATTCGTCGCCGTCGCTTTTATTACCTGACACACGGGAGGCGACCCGCGGCAGCGGCCAGCGGCAAAGCCATCGACGCGTTCTGTTCCATGGCGAAATCGAATCATCCGTTGTTTTGATTGGCTGTGTCAGGTTGGAGGGAGTTAAGGTTATTTAAGCGGTTCAGAGTTAAAAAGCGGCAGATTTGATGTTTCACAAGGTGCTGCTAGAGTTATGTGAAATCTTACTTCTAGGGATGTGAATCTCGGAGCAACTCACTATTTGATTCGACTCCGATTCTTGGGGTGCCGATTCGATTCAGAATCGATTCACAATCAGCATTAACAAAGAGCGTCAGCTCCAGGATGAACTACTGTGTTGTACAAGTTAGTTAAAGCTATGGGACGTTTTTATTTGACTTTAAACTGGTCATGCTCCAAAAATGCTAATTTACAGTGTAAACTAAAGTGATTCTGTGGTGTGGTGTTTTGTGGATTTGGAGAAGGCTTATGACCGTGTCCCCAGGGGCACCCTGTGGGGGACGCTCCAGGAGTATGGGGTGGGTGGCTTTCTGTTAAGGGCCATTCAGTCCCTTTACCAGAGGAGCGTGAGTTTGGTCCGCATAGCCGGTAGTAAGTCGGACCTGTTCCCGGTGAGGGTTGGACTCCGCCAGGGCTGCCCTTTGTCACCGGTTCTGTTCATCACTTTTATGGACAGAATTTCTAGGTGCGGCCGTGGTGTGGAGTGTGTCGAGTTTGGTGGCAGGAGAATCTCGTCTCTGCTTTTTACAGATGATGTGGTCCTCCTAGCTTCATCCAGCTCTGACCTTCAGCTCTTGCTGGGTAGGTTCGCGGCCGACTGTGAAGCGGCTGGGATGAGGATCAGCACCTCCAAATCTGAGACCATGGTTCTCGACCGGAAAAGGGTGGCTTGCCAACTCCGGGTCGGGGGAGAGGTCCTGCCTCAAGTGGAGGAGTTTAAGTATCTCGGGGTCTTGTTCACGAGTGAGGGTAGGAGGGATCGGGAGATCGACAGGCGGATTGGTTCGGCGTCTGCAGTGATGCGGACGCTGAACCGATCTGTCGTGGTGAAGAGGGAGCTGAGCCAGAAAGCCAGGCTCTCGATTTACCGGTCGATCTACGTCCCAATCCTCACCTATGGTCATGAGCTTTGGGTAATGACCGAAAGAACGAGATCGCGGATACAAGCGGCCGAAATGAGTTTCCTCCGTAGGGTGGCCGGGCTCAGCCTTAGAGATAGGGTGAGGAGCTCGGACATTCGGGAGGGACTCGGAGTAGAACCGCTGCTCCTCCGGATCGAAAGGAGCCAGTTGAGGTGGTTTGGGCATCTGGTCAGGATGCCTCCTGGACGCCTCCCTGGGGAGGTGTTTCGGGCATGTCCTGCCGGCAGGAGGCCCCCGGGTCGACCCAGGACACGTTGGAGAGGTTACATCTCCAATCTGGTCCGGGAACGCCTTGGGGTCCTGCCGGAGGAGCTGGTGGAGGTGGCCGGGGAGAGGACGGTCTGGAGCTCCCTAGTTGGGATGCTGCCCCCGCGACCCGGACCCGGATAAGCGGAGGAAGACGACGACGAGAGTGATTCTAAAACTGTAAACAGAAACAGTCTTTTGACCAAAAGGCAACATTTATTTTTGCTTACCTTGTAAAATATAACTAATCTGTAGTTACCTAACAGCAGCTTTGAAAGTAATACGGTCAAATACTTTTCAAGTATGTGTAGAAACAAGTTACATGAGTAATCCTGAGTACTCGTTTATCAACTTATCAACTTAACAATATCTCAAATTTCTGAGTATGGAAAAAATGACATTCAAGTGCCCTCTTATCAGCAGATTCAAACATAAATCATCTCAGTTTATGGGACCACAAAAGTAATCTGAGTACTGACTCTCCTAACAAAGATAAAAAGGTGCATCTCAAACCTGTAACGTGCCAAATATTTGAGTTCTTGGAATCGATTCTGAACCTTTATAAATAAGAATCCCAATTCAGACTTGAATCAATTTTTTTCAGCACCTCTACTTACTTCTGATTTTACTATAAAAAAATATCCGAGAATGGGTTCATCCCATTTTACAAACCAAAGAAAGAAATGGAGAATGCCATCATTTAATGAGGGACTTCAAGGACGATCCTGATCAACTCCGGACCTACCTTCGCCTCAGCCCAGAGCTACTTGTCCATCTTCTCACCCTGGTAACCCCAAAGATAGAGAAGATTCACACAAACATGAGAGAACCAATAAGCCCAGAAGAACGACTTATCTGTCTAAAGTAAGTTAATACGATAAACAAGATGTGCGGAGCATCCTGTCCGCTCATTGGTCAGTGAATGAAACCTCCGTTGATTGGTCCTCGTCCGAGCGACAGCGGTGAAAAGTTGAAGATATTTCAACTTTCTGGGCACGCGTCGCTGGGTCGCCTGTGCACGACACGTGCACGAGCGCAAGATTTCACACACACATTTTTCGCGTTTCTCTTAGTAGGAGGTAGACCCACGATTATCGCTTTGTTGCTCATGTCTCACTGAGAATGAATGGAGGAGAGGCGATGTCGCCTCCCGTGTGTCGAGCCCATAAAGCTCTACTGTCAGATCTCACCTGTGTTCACCTCTTCTTCCTTCCCATTGGTTGGACGGAGCGACTGCGACACAGTCAGGGCCAGCGGCTGATCCTGAGTCTCCATCCTGCAGCTTCCTGGCGGGACTTTGACCTTTGAACTGATGCGCTTCACTCCCTCCTTACTGCATCTCTCACGCTCACCAGGAACCCTGGAAGGTAAAAATCAAACGGAATCAGTTTTAAGGAGTTTTATTTATTTATTTTTTACTGAAACGTGAATTAATGTGTAATTGTAAAACGACGGTTGAGGAAGTTCTGAGGATTTAAACACCCAGCTCCTTGAAACTGTAAGAAAAATGGCCGACAAGTATGAAGCACGCTGCATTTCCGTGTTTTCCAGTGAAGTAAAACAGAAAGCGGTTGTTCAGTCTGATGAGAAACAGCAACATTAGCACAAAGGAAGGCTTCTTGAAATACCAGCTCAATAAAATCTGGATTTCAGAAGAAATGGAACATTTTAGCTGCATTCCTGCGTCATTCAGAGTCGTTAAAGAGAAGTGATGAACCTCTTGTGTTGGACCTTCCTCCACCTGCCGATTGTTATTTGCATACCAGAGTTAAACTCCGTCATGCAACCAATCAGTGTCAAGCAGAAAACTGGAAAGACAGGCGCGAGAGCATGCATGAAGGCAAACGTAAGGAAGTGCAGAACAACCTGGAAGCAGCTAAATATAGAAAAGAGAAAACATGACGGTGAAAGGAGAGACCGGCTGTGAAGATGTTCAGACGCTTCAGCTCCAGCAGTTCCAACCAACTAACAAGTTAAAGAAGCTTTAATTGTTGTTGACTTTTGGTGGATGTGGCTGATTCAAATGGGGAAAACATGAATCTGATCAGCCTGTTGGACCTGATCACCCCCAGCTCACCAACGTCTAATGCAGTTTCACTCTGGAATGTCCGTGACTTTTCCAAACTCAAAGTTTTATTCCTGATCGTTTAGCTGCTTTAACTGTTTTATAATTCAGTGGCGGTTTTACCATTAGGCATAGGTCGGCAGCCGCCTGGGGCCCCCTTATTTTTGGGGGCCCCCTAGCCCAGACTGCTGGCACCCCTTTGTTAATGCAACAATGGACCATTCCTTTAAGACACCGATGCACAAACAGGAAGTGATTGGTAGTCATTCCACTCCAATCCAGTTGGTGGCAGTAATGAACCAAATTGTTGTTTGCCAAGTGCCATGAGACCACTAAGAAGAAGAAGAAGAAGAAGAAGAAGAAGAAGAAGAAGAAGAAGAAGAAGAAGAAGAAGAAGAAGAAGAAGAAGAGGAGGAGAGGCGGGAGCGTTCGTAACTAAGCATGAAATGGAGTTATCCTGGTGGCTCCAATAAGAGAAAGAAGCAGCATGCTTTAAAAAAAGCTTTTATTTTCACTTCTGAAAGTGACGTCGTTTTTCGATGTAAACATCAAAGGAAGCAGAAAGGAAAGACAATGGAAAATGTTTAAAGGGAAAACATAGACCAAAATGGAAAAGAGAAAAAAAAAGAAAGGCAAAAGCACAGGAATACTGCCAGGAAGAAGAAAGCACTCAAAGGGAGAGAAAGACAGGAAAAAGAGGAGGACTAATAAAAAGTGAAAATAACTCGTGTCAGAAGAGGGGAGAGTTTCACAAATCCAGTTAAAGATGAGACTGTCGAAATTTTTGGTAACACTTTAGGTTAGGGAATACAAATGAACCATTAATTAGCTGCCAATTAATATGCTTATTAGTGGACTACTAAGTCTGAACTAGTCGTTATTAAGCACTTATTAACAACTTATTACTAATGCTGTAATTCTAACATTAACAGGCCATAAATTAAGAGTTTTATAATAATAAGCCGTTCATAACGGTTTGTTGCTGATTAACACATACTAATAGGCTCAAATCAATATGTGGCGTTTAAAGAAGTAATTCAAGGGGAACATACAGGTGCTGGCCAGTAAATTAGAATATCATCAAAAGGTTGAAAATATTTCAGTAATTCCATTCAAAACGTGAAACTTGTACATTATATTCATGCAATGCACACAGACCAATGTATTTCCGATGTTTATTACGTTTAATTTTGATATTTATAGGTGACAACCAATGAAAACATCAAATCTGGTATCTCAGAAAATTAGAATATTCTAAAGGCCAATGAAAAAATGTTTGTTTCTCTAATGTTGGCCAACTGAAAAGAATGAACATGAAAAGAATGTGCATGTATAGCACTCAATACTTAGTCGGGGCTCCTTTTGCCTCAATAACTGCAGTAATGCGGCGTGGCATGGACTCGATCAGTCTGTGGCACTGCTCAGGTGTTATGAGAGCCCAGGTTGCTCTGATAGTCGTCTTCAGCTCCTCTGCATTGTTGGGTCTAGCGTATTGCATCCTCCGCTTCACAATACCCCATAGATTTTCTATGGGGTTAAGGTCAGGCGAGTTTGCTGGCCAATCAAGGACAGGGATACCATGGTCCTTGAACCAGGTGCTGGTGGTTTTGGCACTGTGTGCAGGTGCCAAGTCCTGTTGAAAGGTGAAGTCTGCATCCCCATAAAGTTGGTCAGCAGCAGGAAGCATGAAGTGCTCTAAAACTTCCTGGTAGATGGCTGCATTGACCCTGGACCTCAGGAAACAGAGTGGGCCAACACCGGCAGATGACATGGCACCCCACACCATCACTGACGGTGGAAACTTTACACTGGACCTCATGCAACGTGGATTCTGTGCTTCTCCGCTCTTCCTCCAGACTCTGGGTCCTTGATTTCCAAAGGAAATGCAGAACTTGCTTTCATCAGAAAACATAACTTTGGACCACTCAGCATCAGTCCAGTCCTTTTTGTCCTTGGCCCAGGCGAGACGCTTCTTGCGCTGTTTCTTGTTCAAGAGTGGCTTGACACACGGAATGCGACACCTGAATCCCATGTCTTTCATGAGTCTCCTCGTGGTGGTTCTTGAAGCGCTGACTCCAGCTGCAGTCCACTCTTTGTGGATCTCCCCCACATTTTTGAATGGGTTTGTCGTCACAATTCTCTGCAGGGTGCGGTTATTCCTAGAGCTTGTACACTTTTTTCTACCACATTTTTTCCGTCCCTTCGCCTGTCTGTTAATGTGCTTGGACACAGAGCTCTGCGAACAGCCAGCTTCTTTAGCAATCACCTTTTGTGTCTTGCCCTCCTTGTGCAAGGTGTCAATGATTGTCTTTTGGACAGCTGTTAAGTCAGAAGTCTTCCCCATGATTGTGGTGCCTTCAAAACAAGACTGAGGGACCTTTTAAAGGCCTTTGCAGGTGTTTTGAGTAAATCAGCTGATTAGAGTGGCAGCAGGTGTCTTCTATATTCAGCCTTTTCAGAATATTCTAATTTTTTGAGATACCAAATTTGGAGTTTTCATTAGTTGTCACTTATGAATATCAAATTTAAATGTAATGAACATTGGAAATACATTGGTCTGTGTGCATTGCATGAATATAATGTACAAGTTTCACGTTTTGAATGGAATTACTGAAATATTTTCAACCTTTTGATGATATTCTAATTTACTGGCCAGCACCTGTATTCTTGCCTTTAAGTGGTTAATTAATACTAAACTACTAGTAATTAGGTATGAACAACATCTGACTTTAGAATGGAGAACATGTTCTTGCTTACAAGTGGTTAATTGGTTGTTGTTTGGGCTCTATTAACATGTGGAGTTTGGTGTTTATGTACATAATACCAGAACATAATATTTTTGGTTATTAATGCAGAATAACTATTTTCCTTGAATTACTTCTTTAAAAGCCGCACATTGAGTTGATCTATTTGGTATGAGCGTTAATCAGCAACAAACCCTTTACTTTCAGTTAACAACCCATTATGAATGGCTTATTAAGATAAAACTCTTAATTCATGGCCTGTTAATGTTAGAATTGCAGCACTGGTAATAAACACCTAATAATAGCTTAATAAGGACTATCTCAGACTTAGTAGTCCACTAATATGCAAATTAATTGGCAGCTAATTAATGGTTAATTTGTGTTCCCTAAAGTGTTACCAAAATTTTGTGTAAGGGGGCCCCATGTCCGTGTTCGCCTTGGGCCCCCAAATAGCTAAATCCGCCACTGAACACACGTTCAATGCATTTGTAAAAAAATACCAAAAAGTACATCTTAAAAACACGGGAATGCTGACGTGGCAGTGTGAGCGTCCTGTCACTGTGACCCGGTTGGTCATGCGCCCTGGCGACTCGCCACGGGGATGTCCCTTTGGCTGACTGGTTAGACTCTCTCCCGGGAGTCTGGGGATCGAATCCCGCCCAAGCCCTCACTTCTCCACCGTGCCACACTTAAATAAAGAGTATCAAACTGTTGATATAATTTATTATTATAACATATTTCGCCTTGACTTAAAAAAGCAAAAGACAGATTTTCATGACATTTTTCATGATGTGGAGGTTAAAGGGTTAACACTGAGCTCTGGTACTGCTCACCTTACATAATAAACATATTATTACATGATTATTACATAATGTCAGGATTATTAAGAACGTGAAATCCCTCCTTTTATATGATTCAAAATGTGCTGATCTACAAGCTACTGAGCGTTAATGAACACGTTCAACTCCAACAATCGTGACTTAACTGAATAACACAACAGTGCATCACCTGAACAGATTATTTTGGATTATGAAAGTATAAAATAAGCTTAGAAATGTCTCATTTGGCGCACTCGGATTGTCCAAATCTTTAAACTTATCATGCTGCAAACTGATTTTCTGTGAAAATGTAGTAAAAGGCAGCAACTACAGAAAAACTCCACATAAAAACAAAAACCCTCTGATTTACAGCAACACTGTCTGCCACTGGCCTTGTGGTTGTCCTCAGTCATGCAGTCACATCAACAATGACTCGACCTGCTTCCATAAACCTGGTAATTAGTGCCGGGACGCGCCACCGTCCCAATCGTTCCCGCTCCGAGTCCGAGCTCAGGCTCTCTCTCCCGCTTCCAGAAACACATCCATCCCTGATCGGTGGAGCCAAACATCCCAACGTTAAAGGAAAACCTGAATCAAGACCAGAGCAAACAGAACTTCGGCCCGAACAGCCCAGAGAAGCAGAAACACACACGGCTCCTGTTTCAGCACAAAGACTGTGACAGTCTCCACCAGCGTGCACACCCCCATGACGTCCCACCGTGGCTCCCGTCCAAACGTAAACAACAAACAGAGCTAACGTGGCTCACATGACGCTGCTCTTCCGCCTCCATCTTCATCAGCATGCAGCGCTTTACGACCCTCGTTAAAAGTCAGATTGCACCTAAAACACAGCAGAAAGGATTCCCAGCAGCCTTCGGAGCCGGACATTCCCTTCAACTCCCGATGAAGGAGATGGTTCCTTTTCTGGGATGACCTCTTTTGTAGAAGATGTTAATTTAATGAAAAAGCAATGCACTGATTCTGATTTATAACGTCTACTTTAAGAGTTTTATGGACACTTCTTAGTTTTTATTTTAGACTATGAACTTAAAGGAGTTTTAATTTGAGTGTTTTAACAACCACATCAGGTGAAAAGTGCAGCTCTAATGGAATTAGGGTAGCTGTAGCCAGATCGGATGTTTTTCTAGCCAATACCAATTTTTAGAATTGAAGGCAGACCTAAAAAAAAAAAATAAACAAACAATTCCAAGTTGTTGTTTTTTTTTCTCTTTGTCTGATGTGAGTTTCTTAAGCACCCTGTGATTTGAGACTAGTGATGCACCGATATGAAATTTTTGGGCCGATATCCATATCCGATAATAACTGTTATGGCTGATGACCGATATTTGCCAATACCAATATACTGACTTTAATGCTTCTAAAATCAGCAGATTTTGAATAGAATTAAATTGTTAAAGCTGAATTTACGTTATTATGTACACACAACACACACATTTATGGTTCTGAGATGATTTCATTCTCTGTTCGCGTGACTAAACAATTACACATCCCCCCCCCCCCCCCCCCCCCCCCTTCACCATCTGAAACAGGCAAACAAATGGGGACAATATGGAAAAAAATTGGTTGTTAATATCGGCCCTATCGAACCGATAACAATATGTTAAAAAGTGACTAACATCGGCCGATACCGATATTGATGCCGATATATTGTCGAGCCCTATTTGAGACGCTATATAAAAAAATACTTTTTTCTTTTTTCTACATTTGATGAAAACAGAACATTTGAAGTACATAAAAAAATCACCAAGTAACCAGAATTAGTCCATTTGAAGTGCAGGAATCACTTTTTATTCAGTTTTTTTTATTATTATTGTTCAGCAGCAAATAGACTAATTAAGCAAAATAATAATAATCTGTGAACTCATCTCCTCTAAGCACAAACTCAAACCAGCAATAATGGCTTTTCTTTTACTTCCAGAATCACTAAACATCATTAAAACTTTAGCAGAAAACAAAGTGGTCATCAGTGTCGGCAGGTCAGAAATCAGGATTGGCCTACAACTGCAGCATCGGCGCATCTCTCCTTAACTCATTAACTGCATTGACGACTAAAGTCCTCATTTGCATTTTGTTTTTTTACTGTGTGGGCGTCGGACGAGCCCCCGCACCGTGAGAACAAACATCTCAGCTCTAAAGCCGATCTTCGTCACACGTCATGTGATCAGGAAGCAGAACATCCGTGTGTTAGGAGATCGTTTTGGGCCGCTGCTGTAAAAAAAAGTGAGGCGTGAACCGAAAAGCTTCTGCCGATCACAATTCAACAACGGATTATCAGAATCAGAATCAGAAAAGGTTTATTGCCATTGTCAGTGAACAAGCAGTTCACAAACTAGGAACTTGTTTCGGTACTAATGTTCTACATATAACATGAATAATAAATTTCAGAAATAGAATAAAGTAGAATAAAATATAATAAAACTAGCATAAAACAATCAGCTATAAAAAAGGCAGGTAAAGGTAATACGGCCGATAACGTGACGTTATGTCAAGTACAGCAGACGAGCATGGTTGTGTGTTTATAAGCTGTTCACAAGTCTAACGGCAGATGGAAAGAAGCTGTTCTTATGGCGGGAGGTTCTGGTCCGGATGGACCGTAACCTCCTGCCTGAGGGAAGCGGCTCAAAAAGTCTGACCCGGGTGCGAAGGGTCAGCTGCTATCCGACCTGCACGCCCCCGAGTTCTGGAGACGTACAGGTCCTGGAGAGATGGAAGGCTGCAGCCAATCACCTTCTCAGCAGAGCGCACAATGCGCTGCAGTCTGTGTTTGTCCCTCACCGTGGCTCCAGCGTACCACACAGCGATGGAGGAGGTGAGGATGGACTCAATGATGGCCGTGTAAAACTGCACCATCATCTGGACCGGCAGCTTGGCCTTTTTTGCCTTGGGCCCCCAAATTCTTTATTGTCTTTATGAAAGAACAGATAACGCTCGAAACGCGTGGATTCTTCCTGATTAAGAGGTGAGTCTGGAAGCTTTGTTTTGGCTGTTTTGGCGTCAACATCATCCTAGCGCGCAACGTTCTGTGGCTCATAAACAGTAAAAATGCTGAAAAACGCTGGCAGCAAAAGAGTTAAACATTTATTATTGTTAGAAATTTCAATCTGCTGATATTTGCCACTTAAAAAATAAGTTATTTAATTTTTTTCCTTAAAGCAACAATTGTATTGTGTGCATTTATGATTCCAATTATTGACAAATATCGTTAGATCTATATTTAATACGTTTGTCCCAACGACTGGATCAAATAAATCCCAAAAGCAACAACGCTAATTTCTGTTTCTAGTCATTGCCCTGATTTCAGCCAGAAGGGATCAGCTGATTCAGCATGTTTCCTTTAACCCAGAACCTCCGTTTCGTGACGCGAGCGAACTTTAGTCGAGTTTTATTTACCCCGTGCCGCTGGGCGATGACGGATCCAACGACACAGGAAGTGCTTCACTCTCCAAACACTTCCAGCCTGCATGGCTCATCTCCCTAAAACTCGGCCTGCTGTTTTATTTTCTCAGCAGAGCGTTTGGATGTCCTCTGGAATTTGAGGTCGTGCGAGTCAACGAGGGTCATAAAGAATGTCCTCGCTCACATTAACTTCCACCATCATGGAAAAATCTGAGCGATTTCCTGCTCCAGAGCAAAAATCGAGTGAAATAATCTGTTGTGAACTTGTAGGAGGGTTTTTTCCGCCTCAGCCTCACTTGTTAAACAGGTTTTTGAGCCTCAGGGTTGGAAAATATCTGCAGCTTTCTGCCCACACAGCAACTCTAATCTGTTTATCCGTCTGTTTATCTCCAAAGAATTCAACTTTTTGGGCCATTTAAAAAAAACTAATCTGTGAGTGAAGTTTAGTGGTCCCAGATTGGTCAGCGGGGATTAAACTGACCCGTTAATCTCAGCCACAGAACATCTGTGCCTCTGTTGTCTCAGAGCGAGCGTTTTCATGATGATTATTATTATTATTAATTGATTAGCCCCAGATGGGATGAGGCACGTGCAGCCTCTCTCTAAACTCATCCATGGCAAAGACTTAATGAGGGATTTAGGAGATTATCTGCATGGGCTTGGGGTTTTATTGCATTACTCCCCGTAGGCTCTCCTCTTTTAGACCCACTCGAGAGTTGGCAACAAAACTTTTCCAGTTAGTCCTCTATTTCCACAGACAACGCTGTTTAAAATCCACCCGATTACACCCCCAGAAACCAAACTAATTAATAAACTGGAAGAGAGAAGGGGAATAAAACACCTAAACTTGCATAGATGCGTGTTTTTACAACAAGTCCCCAAAGCTGCAGCAGTCTCTGGAAAACACACGTTTGTTTTCCTTTTATGCAAATCAAGCAAAGCAGAAAGAATCAATATCTCCTTAGAATAACCTCCCTGGTTATGTTTGTTCCTCTTGTTGGTGCAAACCCTCTTAGTGATTGGGTTTTTGAAGCCAAATTATCACACAGTGGCTGATCATAAATAAATAAATGAATAAATAAATAAATAAATAAATAAATAAAACAGATTATCGCACTAAACCACCTCATTGTTTGAGTTGTCTCTCCCCTTTTCCCCCGTTGACAGCTTCGGGAATAAGCAGGTTTTACAAGAGAACTCCAGAAGGTCGGCGGGCTTCACGGTTTCTCCTCATCATGGAGACGCATTTAATGGGGGGGGGGGGGGGGGGGGGGGGGGGGGGGGGGGAACGCGCAGCCTGGATTCTCGACAAAATGCGAAAAACCTGAAAGGAGAAGCGACGCTTCACCCACTTATGTGTAGAAGAAGGTTCTCCTGAGACGCGGATCTAAATAAAACCCGACGTTTGGATTAAAAAAAAGAGAAATTGGAGGATTTTTTGAAGGCGCGTCGAGTCGAGGCGCACATTTTTGCGCAAAAGGGAAAGAGGAAACGTTGAGTTGCACACGAGGAAGATGAGAGGCTGACAGGGTGGAACCGACCGACCGACTCACCGACCAGCGGCCTGCCTGCCGCTGCCACTCCGGTCATGTACTTTGCACACTCACAACTGCGGCGGAAAAAAACTCCCACAAAGTTACCGAACGCACACTTCGGATTTAGTTGATTAACCCTCGTGTGTGTCCACCCAAAGAAACCGAACCGGACGCGCTGTGGGCCATTGTTCGGTTTTTTCCTCGTTCAAAGATTCTGAAGTGGCAGTTTCCCCCTACGGGCACCATCCAAACACGCCATGTTGAAAGTGCGCTGACATTTAGACAGTGTCCGGTGTTTTCCCGATGCTTTTTGCGCACAAATAAAAATCCCGACGTGAGTCATCCGCGACAGGAAAACAGGAACGAGACGCGTTTTAATTACAACTTTAGACAAATGACACCAAAAGCCCCGGAAGCGGTGTGGGACTCAGGTGATATCTGGCTCATTTGGTTTGTTTTTAAACATCCTTCTGGGCAGAAACTGCGCCAGATCCCCGCGAGCGCAGCGCAGCGCGGCGTCCCGAGAACGCCGATAATTACAGCGACACTAACTTGGGCCATTTCCTCGCTTCAGCCCGACTGCGCTTCCGAGGCGTTTAAAGCGGAGGAGGAACGTAACTCCGAGCTTTTATTTAGTCGACACGATAATCGGAGGAAGGAGAAAAGCTCCGGAAACGAGCGCGAGGCGTCATCGGTCTTACCTGTCCGAGTTTTTCCCTCCTCCTGTCACCTCTCCCGCACAGACCCCCCTCCGTGTTTTTTCTTCTCTCCTCGTTGAGCAAAGCGACGTCTTTCAGCTGCTGCTGCCCCCGTTTCAATATGGCATCTCCCGTCTGCGCATGTCCAAAAACAGTACAGATATTCTCAAGCCTTCGGTGACCTTTTAGCGCAGAAGCATAACACTGCTTTTCAGCCCGAGTGAGGAAGAAACACACACACACACACACACACACACACACACACACACACACACACACACACACACTATTTTCAGAATCTGTAACATTCACAGGCCCACTTCATTATAAAACACTTTTATTTTGAAATATTTAGTCAATTTCAAATGTTATGATTTTATAAATTGGTCACTAAAACAATTTAAATGAATTTTAAAATCACTGATACTGAAGTTGATGGTAAAAACGGTCAAATTATCACAAGTTTCTTTACTTTCTGGTCCTTTGGGGTTTCCCTCGTTAATAAAACGCGCATTTGAACCCAAAATAACAAGATATATTCATTAAAATTCGGCACTATTTTTGTATTACAGCCAACAGCACCCTCTAGTGGTGATGCATCGCATCCCTAATATTTGGCTCAAATATCTGAGATGAACTGTAGCTGGGCCTGGTTCTCCTGAGGGGAAAAAGGGGATTTGTAGCTAATTCAGGATGGAAATGGCTTTTAGTGGAATAAATGGTGATAAACAAGGTTTGATGTGAGAATTAATAAATCCCCCTCCAGCTAATGCCTGGAAGTTAACCCCTGAGCTTTAAGATTAGTTAAACTTTCTGAGGTTTCCTATATTTTGTGAATATTTTTGACACGTTTCTAAAAAAAAAAAGATCAGGACTATACTTTTTGGGAGTTTTATATAGAAAGCAAAGCAAAACAAACAAAAAATAAAAAACAGCATTTTTCCTCGTTATCCTAAAACATTCCCAATCAAAACTTCAATTAAAAGTTAAATAGCTCCAGATTTCAGCTTCAGAGTTTATTTTCTAATTTACGGAGTTTTTAAAAACATAATTTTACTCAGAAAGACACGAGAGGATTCCTGAAAGACGGGGGCTGCTGTGACTCGGGAACAGATGGCTGAAGCGTGCCTCATTAATCTGCCGAGGAGAAGCTTTTCCGTGCGCGCGGGTGAAAGGATTAACCCGCGCCTCACTGTGCACACGCGCCACCGGACACGTGCGACTTGTGCAGGCGCCCGCAGGCTGTCTGCACATTGCACATTCAATTCTATTATATTCTATTCAGTTTATTTCTATTGCGCCAAGTCACGACAAGAGTCGTCTCAAGGACCTTCACATAATAAACATTCCTGTGCAGGTCAGTTCATTAAGCCAATCAGAAATAATGTTTCCTATAAGGAACCCAGCAGGTCGCATCGAGTCACTGACTAGTGTCAGAATCCTCCTTACAGCAATCTGTGTGTGTGTGTGTGTGTGTGCGTGTGCGCGCGCGCATCTTGTGATCTAATACGTCTGGATCAATAGTTTTTCCGACCATCAGCAGTTACTTTTTAAAAGATTTTCGTTGAACTTTGGATGATTTTTTTTTGTCTTTCTCTGTCTGATTTAGTTTGTTTAAGCGACTTCACCTCTGATCCCGGAGCCAGAAGAGATAATGAGGAATCTTTACATGCTTTTGACACAACATGTCCCCATTTTATGGTCAAATTCGTCAAATCCAGCAGAGAAAACAATATTTAAGAAACAGAAAATCAAATTTCAACATCAACAAAAATTCAACTCGGGTAAAAACTTTTAGTTTCTGATCATTAAACTTCTTCTTTTGTCCATTTTCCTCATTTCAAACACAATTCTGAACTAAAGAAAGCACGTTTTCCGTGTTAAAGACCCCCGAATGGATGCTGCTAAAAGAGTTTTATTTCACTTTTAGTCACTTAATGTTGATTATTGCTGAAACTGTGCAACAAATGCGTAACTACGTTTTTTCTGTAATGAACATATTATCATCATAATTTATTTACATCAAAAGCTGTTTTAAACAGTTTTGAATCAAATGAAGGCATTTAACACAGCAGAGAAAATGGTTTTTAATTTATTTGATTAATTTGAGGCGACAACTTGTGAATTATAATCTAATTTGTAAACACAATAATAATAATAAGGTGATACCTATGAAAGCTAATAGTGTTTGATCTTTTACTAAAACATTCAGATCATTTAGATAATTTTGCTAACAATTGTTGTTGAGCTATGTTAAGTTACAGCGATAAACACTTCTAAGATTGTTGCATCCAGTAAAAATAAACTTAACTTAGGTTTTAGTTTTAACTCGTGAAGTAAAACCTTTGATGTTTTTGAAGCTGGACTTAAAAGATTGATCCAAACAGAAACAGTTTTACAGCATCTCATTGTAGCTTGAAATTAATATTTTATTTATTTATTCATGAAGTTCAAATCCTAAGTCATTTCTCAAAAATAAACAAACACGTTTAATGAGCTATTTGTATTAGAACTATAATAAAAACAAACATTTAAAGCAGTTTGATAGTTTTGTGCTCTATGGCTCCCCTAGTGGTCTGGTTAGGAACATGATGCCAAAATAAAACAAAACAATTATTTGAGGACAGTTTTTGCTTTTTGACTCAAAACCACATAAATTCACAAGTATCACAGTAGCTAACAATATCAACCTAGATTTTTATTAACCCTTTGATGCATGAATTATGAAATCTTCAACCATGATTTTTTAACAATTTTTTTCATTCATATTAAGGTGTGAATGAAACAAATTTCAACAAATATTTTTCGTAAAATTTTATAATTTACAAATAATTTATTACATGTCTACCTCAGTGGACAGCGTGCATTCTGAACATGAAATATGTTGGCTTGGCTTACTGAAGTCCAGATGGAGGGGCTCAAATGCAATAAAGTCTTCAACAGCTGTGCTTAATAGCAAAAACAAATAAATAACAATTTTGAGTACCTGTCCACTGTAGTGACCATTATGCATCAAAGGGTTAAATGTCTTTGAGCACATTTACTCTTTTATTTTGAAAGACGCTTACCGGAAGCGGAATGATTTATTTGGTTGCGCTTCTTTGCGGACCTTGTTTTTGTTGTTTTCTGCGTGGATGTGAGTCAGATCACTTATGCTTTGTTTGCATTAGCATCGCGGGATGTCGCCACCGGAAACACGCAGAGAAAAATCATATTTTTAAGCCTTAAATCGATTTTAGGTTGTTTGTTTTTCTGTGGGAAGAAGAGGCGAAGCACCTTTTGTTTGTTTTTTCCTCCCCACCAGCGCGTCATCATGGACATGTACGGCTACGGCGGGACGTTCCTGGTGAAACGGTTCACGGCTCCGGTGGAAGTCGTGAACATGTCTGAAATCAGCAAGGCGAGCCCTCACGGCTGTGATGGCGGAGCTCTAACGGACCGGTTCGGGGTTCTCATCCAGGCACTCCTGGCTGTCGTCGCGTTCAGCACGCTGATGCGTGAGTACTCTCTCAGCTTTTGCGTTTGTCGGGAGAAAATGCGTTAATGTCGCTTTAAAAATGTCCACGTGGCGTTTGGTTAACGCTTGTTTTTGTGGAAACTAAGCTGGAGTCAAAAATGCGTTTTATTATTATTTTGTTTATGTTAGCCACATGCTAATGTTACTAAACCCTTTAAAGAGGTAAACTGGTTAAGGGTTTTCGGTGGACCGATACCGATTTTTTTTTTTAGAAATTAGATTATTGAAGTCCCGTTTTAGTTTTGTTCGAAGGCTCCTCCCCTTCCGGTCGGCTCACGGTCCTGAAACTTCAGAGTACATTCTGGAAACTTACTGGGAGATAATATCGCCCAGTCCTTTCCGCTTTTATGTCTCCATACAGGAGGTGGAGCGGGTTGTCCAGTAATCGGAAGGTTGCTGGTTCGATCCCAGCTCTGACCAGATAATTCTGCTGTTGTGTCCTTGGGCAAGACACTTAACCCACCTTACCTGGTGGTGGTGGTCGGAGGGGCCGGTGGCGCCAGTGCTTGGCAGCCCTGCCTCTGTCAGTGCCTCTGTAGCTACATCGTAGCTCATTCCCACCAGCGTGTGAATGGGTGAATGACTGATTGTGTTGTGAAGCACCTTGGGGGGTTGTAGAACCCTGAGAAGGCGCTACACAAACACCGGCCATTTACCGTAGAAAATCAGTCCTCTCAGGACTTTGCACAGACACCAGCACATCGCGACTGCTTCGTTAGTGAGTGATGTCACTGATCAGCGCCAAAACCATCCAGTAACATGAACAACATTTAAAGTTTCTGTTTGTTGAAGTACAGCTAAATTTCATCCAGTTGGAGGACGAGAGCAGCTGCATGACGTAAAGTCTGGCATTCGATGACCAGAAGAAAGCTCGGCTGTTAGCGACGCTACGTGGGACAGCAAAGTCCCGTGAATTAGGTTGTTGTGGGGGACTTCTGCCGTGTCGGGAGTTTAGTGACAGCGATTTAAAGAAACGTGATTGGTGCTTTATTTTCTTGTGCTTTCGTTCTGCTTCACAAGCAAATCCTCTAATTTTTTTTCAAATCCTGCTGAGTTACAACCAATCAGCGTGGGTTAACCAGAGCTCTTCTCAGAGACTCCACCGGGCCATGCCGAGTGCCTACCCCTGCTAGGCCTGCCGGCTGAGTTGGAGACACGCACAGGCCCTGAGGTTTCGACAGTGGAAACACGTCTGTACTTCAACTTAAATGATTAATAATTGTGTGTTTCGACTATGTCTTGTCGTCTAATCTGAGATTTATTAGCGTGTTGGTGATCAAAGCGACTACGGACCAGACTGAGAAGCAGGAGAGCTGGGGGCTGTTCCAGGAAGCGAGCTATTACCAAAACCAGGCTGTAGCCGCCCCTAAATCGGTTCTACGAACGTGGCTAGCCTAAAAGCCCCCCCAGTCACCATGGTAACACGTGATGGAGAACAAACCTGCTTCGTGGCAGGCTAGCAGCTAGGCTAACTGACGCTTTTTGAATAGGATTGGATGATACAAGTGACGTCACCCTTTTCTTGTCGGTGGTTGGCGGCTACGAGGTGGTGAATTAGTGCCCCCGCTGGCCCACAACGGTAGCAGCAGCTGCAGCTTTGGTCTTGACAGCGAAATTATTAATAAATGTGGAGTTTAAACTTTAAAATTAGAGTTCTAATTGGGTTTACATCGTAACATCGTTGCATTTAATCCTCATTTGCAGCCAGGAGCACTTCAGTCAACTGATGTTGCTCCTGATCAGAATCAGAACCAGAAGGTTTTATTGCCATGTGCGCCAGAATCACATTAGGAAACTGCTGCGGTGCTTGATGCAAGAAAAAAATAAATGATAAGCAAGATTAGAATTAAGAAATAAACACAACGAAATGATAATAATATAGGGAGGCAATAATTAGAGAAGCAGCTACTTTACACAAGTCAGTGTAGGTACTAGTCAGAGCGAGTCAGTTCAGGTGCAAACACAACACCGGGTCATGTGACTGAAACAAAGCAGCTGGAGTGGCCAGGTCTACGGTTGTCATGATGAGTCCGACCACAGAGGGGAAGAAACTGTTTTTGAGGCGAGAGTTTTACACAAAACTTAAATGAACTTTTGCCACCTGTCAAAAGCACATCTTTGAAACTTGTGGACATCAAACATTAAATCACACGTGTCAAACGGGATCAGAAAATAACGTTTGTCTTTCCATTCTTTTTCTTTTTGACACCCAGGACAGGACAGGAAGTAGATGGGCGTGGCTTAGGCTCCCCATAGGACTAGCGCCCCGATACTTCTACATGGAGCTGCATGGTGGAACGGTTCTAGCACTGTTTCCTGGCAGCAAAGTCACAGGTTCACACCCGGTCTGGTGTCTTCCTGCATGGAGTTGGCGTGCTCTTCCCATGTGTGTCTGGGCTTTCTCCAACTGGAGGTGATTGTCCCTGTGTGTGAGAGAGTGTTTGGCTGTGATGGGCTGGAGACCTGGGTGCCACCTAACCAATGAATACTGGAGTTAGACACTAGATCCCCCCCCCCCCCCCCCCCGCCCTAGTGAGAGAAACCCGTTAAGGAGATGAATGAATGAGTGAGTGAGTATTATCTACTAGAGCAAAGCTAATCAGACCTGGTTGGCCACTGCCCTGTGTGTTTTAGCTGTTTCCCTTCTCATTCTGTGATTAAATCATCCATCAGCAGGTCAATGTTCCTCAGAAGCCTGTTAATCAGCCGTTGTTGGAACCAGGGTTGAACATCTCAGTACTAGATACTATCAGAGTGCTGGAGGTGTACAAAGAGTTCAAAATGTGAACAACTTAACATTTGAACCACAGCCTTAGGCTACAGATTTGTGGCTTTGGTATTTCTTTGAGTCGTGGAAGCGGAGCTGAGAAGGAATGGAGGTGGTTTCCAGACACATTCCAGATCTCAGAGATGATCTGTATGGCGCGGTATGGGGGCCAAAATTAAGACTACTGCCCAGCAGCAGGAGGCTATATAAAATCTGAAGCAAACTACCGACCTGATTAATGATAAGCTGGCGCCGGTAACTGAGCGGGTGGCGCTGCTTACTGAGGAATGGCAACTTTACCGGTGTTACTACTAGATACACTAGGGACTAGCAGCCCTCGGCTGGTCATTGACTGGTTCAAACACTCCCTCTGCTGTCTATTAGCATGGATAGGCTAGCGTTAGCCTGGACGGGCTGGTGTTAGCATTGGAGAGGCTAGCCATTAGCATGCCTAGGCTGGCCACTAGCTGGATTTCCTACCCCCTTGACGGACTTTAAGCATGGATAGGCTGGCATTAGCATCGGAGAGGCTAGCCATTAGCATGTCTCGGAGAGTCCCTTACTCTACTAGATGCGGTTTTTTTTTACTTTTATTAAACGGATGACATACTATGAGACCTACAATCACAGTTGTTCCTTTGACAGAATGCGTTGTTTTACACATTAACTTTAAGCATACTGTAAAGCCGACAGCCTGTTAGCATTGATTAGGTGCTGCGTTAACTCCATTTTGCTCTTAATTACAGGTTGATGGTTTTTTCTTTTTATATAGCTTGGTTTTCTTGCACATATCAGAGAAAAAGCCAGCGTTAACTAGTTAGTACTTTTCATCTTTGGATTTTAAATCCTTTGTATTCAATTACAGGTTAATAGTTATTTAAATTGTGATGTCATCTTTATTAAAACTATAAAATGTGTACAAAAAACCCACATCTAATAGAGTAAGTGACTCTCCGAGACATGCTAATGGCTAGCCTCTCCGAAGCTAACGCCAGCCTATCCATGCTAATGGTCTGTCAAGGGGGTAGGAAATCCAGTTAGTGGCATGCCTAGGCATGCTAATGGCTAGCCTCGCTGATGCTAACACCAGCCCGTCCAGGCTAACGCTAGCCTATCCATGCTAATAGACAGCAGAGGGAGTGTGTGAACCAGCCAATGACCAGCCGAGGGCTGCTAGTCCCTAGCGTATCTAGTAGTAACGCCGGTAAAGGTGCTATTTCTCAGTAAGCAGCGCCAGCCTCTCAGTTACCGGCGCCAGCTTATCATTAATCAGGTCGGTAGTTTGCTTCAGAATTTATATAGCCTCCTGCTGCTGGGCAGTAGTCTTAATTTTGGCCCCCATACCGCGCCATAGATCTGTGACTCTTTTGAGAGGAAAATTAATTTTTCACCAGAGGCCCAGTGACTCGCCTGAACAAACTCAGAACCTCAAACCTTTTAAAATGTAATTTGAAAAGCTAGAGGCTAAATTAAACTCAGTCTGGTGGTGATTCTTTTACAAAAGGATAAAAAGAACTGAGATGGTTTGGTCCATTTTTCAGTCAGTCTGTGCGTGTCTGACTTCAATTTGACCCACTGCTGCAGATTTCTTCTGGCTCTTTCTAGGTGAGTAACGTCTCTAGACTTCCCCTCTCACCATTTCAGGCTGCCTGCTAACCTTTAGACCGAGGTTATCGCTGACGGGAATGCTTTGAGACACATAATAATCCTGCTTCTGACCCCTTTTGGACAAATCTGGTCCCTGTCTAATGCTTCCGTGATGCCCTGTAGGTCCAGCTTCGTGATACGGAGTCAAAACTTTCTGATCCATGCAGAATAAAAACCTAAAACTCTGCTACTGGTTGTTAATTTTACTACAACTCGAGGTTCTCTTGCAGTAAACGAAAGATTTGCTGCTGTTCAGTGATCTCGTCTCGTCTCGTCTTCCTCCGCTTATCCGGGTCCGGGTCGCGGGGGCAGCATCCCAACTAGGGAGCTCCAGGCCGTCCTCTCCCCGGCCTTGTCCACCAGCTCCTCCGGCAGGACCCCAAGGCGTTCCCGGACCAGATTGGAGATGTAACCTCTCCAACGTGTCCTGGGTCGACCCGGGGGCCTTCTGCCGGCAGGACATGCCCGAAACACCTCCCCGGGGAGGCGTCCAGGAGGCATCCTGACCAGATGCCCAAACCACCTCAACTGGCTCCTTTCGATCCGGATGAGCAGCGGTTCTACTC